ACCTCGGCCTGCTGCGCTCGCTTAACTGCCAATGCTGTAAAATCATTTCCAGGGGCGCTTTGCTTCTGAGCGTGCTGAGCTTTGTCAAAGGTGTTCCATATTGCAACGGCGGACCACAAAGCAGCGATGTCCATATTATATTATGATTCATTTTGAACAAATCTATAACATACTTTTTGTATTAAAGGGTAAGTTCACTTTCCCAAGTGAATTTGGGAAAATGGAATTACTCGCTCATATCTGGCCCCCTCTCTCCCCCATACTTACCTTTCGGCGACTGGTCCTACAGAAAGGAAAGGACCATTCACTAAAAGGTAAGTATGGGGGAGAGAGGGGGCTGGAGAGAGGGGTCCAGATTTGAGTGGGTAATTCCATTTTCCCTAATTCACTTGGGAAAGTGAACTTACCCTTTAAAGCACATGTGTCAAATTCAAAGCCCAAGGGCCAAATCCGGCCCACCAGGCCATTTCCTAGACTTCTACTTTCAGATCTTGGTATTAAGTTATTACTAAAACCAGTGATAATCGAATGCAGAGGCAATTATGATAAAGATTAGATACATTTATATAGTCTTACAGGCCCTTTGAGGGCAACCATAATGTTGATGCGGCCCTCGATTAAATTGAGTTTGCCACCCCTGCTAAAGGGAACCTCAATAAATTCCTGACACGTCACAATAAACAGCAACAGTACAATTATTTTAAAAAACTGTACATCATCTAATTTCATCATCTAATACTAATCATTATTTGGGCTCCAGTCCAGGGACTTTACCTAGGCTGAGATGACGTCATCATGCAAGTATTTCCTCAGTCTCCTGCCCCCTGTGATCAGACTGTAACATTGTACCTTCAGTGAGAGACTGCAGCATGGGCTGATCGGTGGCAGACATTTGTGAACACAACCAAAAACTGCACAGTCACCAGGATTTAGCTGAGGCATTTTCCTGGGCTCCACATCGTCATTGTTTTGGAATCCACTTCAAATATGTACTCAGAAAACAACAGTACATGCTTACATTAACATTATGGAAACATTTTCAAGTTGCCTGCTTAAAGCATTATAAACAACATCATATATTTATAAACTTAGTATTACTGGAATACTAGGCAGCGCAGTACTATATGGGAGCATGCTGGCAAAGAGGTTGGCGTTCTTGCCTTGCAGCTCTAGGTTCAAAGCCCACTAGTGACCTTTCTGCATGTGGTTTGTATGGGATTCCTCCAGGTGCTTGTATTTTCTATCCACAATATAAAGACATGCTGGTAGGTTACCTGGTTTTCTATAATATGAGGCCTAGTGTGTTTATTAATGTGTGGGACAGACAGTGCATTTTGAACTGCTGAGGGGCACAAAAACAGATGTGAATGGTTCATTGGAAAGTATTGTGTTATATGTTGGTGCTAAACTATTATTATGGGATATAAGTAATACAAGGTGTACTGAAGGGTCTGGGAAGAATACAAATACATCTACAAGGTGAATCTTAGCACATAATACCATATTATCAGCACTTCTAACGGATGGATGCTAGGAAAAGACATAAGTTGGGGCCACTGAGCTTCAGTCTTATAGCAATTGCTTCATACTTAACATGCTGAACCCCTATAAGCCCCCCTGCAGATAAAATGACCACCTAGTTACGCCTTATAACCCTCATCCACCCCCAACCACACTCCATGCCCCAACTCCTAATCACCCTCTGCTTTTCTGCTTTTCATAGCAGAGACCCAACCTCAACCTCTGCTACTCTAGTTCCTATGCCACTAGATATATTAAGATGCATGGTATATACCAAGGCAGACATCCCAACTCTCCCGGACGTTCCTGTAGTCTCCTGCTATTAGATAGAAGGTCCCGGCCGCCCGGGAGAGAAACATTTTCTCCCGGAAAGCTCTACTCTGCTCTATCACAAACTCCTCCAAATGTTTGAGCCCATTTGTATGAAGCCAGGTCCATAAAGACAAGGTTTGATGAGTTTGTTGTGGCCTGTACAGATCCCTGACCCCAAGCAGGCTCTCCAGCTGTGGTCAAACTACATAACCCATCATGATTTTGCCCCGTGGAACTCAGGAGTAATGCCTTTGGCTGTCTGAGCATTACATTATGGGATGTGTAGTTTGACAACATCTGCAGTGCTGAGGTTGCCTACCCCTGGTATATAAACTATGTGGCCAAAAGTATGGTGAAATGCCTCCAGATTCTCAACTTCATTGTACAAAGCCAGGTCCATGCTTCATACTTAACATGCTGAACCCCTATAAGCCCCCCTGCAGATAAAATAACCACCTAGTTACTCCTTGTAACCCTCATCCACCCCCAACCACACTCTATGCCCCAACTCCTAATCACCCTCTGCTTTTCTGCTTTTCACAGCAGAGACCCAACCTCAACCTCTGATACTCTAGTTCCTATGCCACTAGATATATGAAGATGCATGGTATACCAAGGCAGACATCCCAACTCTCCCGGACGTTCCTGGAGTCTCCTGCTATTAGATAGAAGCTCCTGGCTGCCCGGGAGAGAAACATTTTCTCCCGGAAAGCTTTACTCTGCTCTATCTGGCAGAGTAGACCTTTCCCTGCTGTCTGTTTTCTTTTTTTTCTGACATGGGGCCACCGGCCCCGTCAGTGAGAGGAAAAAAAACAGCATAGGAATGAATAGCTAGGCTTCTATTGGCTATTTCAATTTGCAAAAGCCAATAGCAGACTAGCTATTGCACCCGCCCACTGCTGCCGTGAGTCAGCAGAGGTGGACCTGAAGTTCTCCATCGGGTCCTCCTCTGCTAATTGACAGCATAAGAGGGCGGGTGCAATAGCCAGCTTGCTATGGGCTAATGCAAATTGAAAAAGCCAATAGCAATCTAGCTACTGATTGCTATGCTGTTTTTTTCTTCTTTTATTCTGACAGCAGTAGCTGTCAGAATATTACTACTACAAAAAAAAGAAAAACAGCACATAGCACTGGAAGCAATAGCTTCTTTTCTATCTGCCATCATTTCAGGGGGGTGCCCCCCCCCCCCCCCAGTTACTTTTCTCAATTTGGGATTCCTGCCAAAAGTATTTGGAATCGGCACTCCAGCTGCGCTGATACAAATCCCATTATGCCTTTGCTCCTGGGAGTCATGCCTTTGGCTGTCAGAATCTTGCAGTGCCACATGAGATGTGTAGTTCCACAACAGCTGGAGTGCTGAGGTTACCTACCTCTGGTATATACACACTATGTGGCCAAAAGTATGCAAAAACTCCTCCAAATGTTTGAGTCCATTTGTATGAAGCCAGGTCCATAAATACAAGGTTTGATGAGTTTGGTGTGAAGGAACCCAAGTGGCATGTACAGATCCCTGACCCCAAGCAGGCTCTCTAGCTGTGGTCAAACTACATAACCCATCATGATTTTGCCCTGTGGAACTCAGGATTAATCCCTTTGGCTGTCTGAGCATTACGTTATGGGATGTGTAGTTTGACAACAGCTGGAGTGCTGAGGTTGCCTACCCCTGGTATATGAACTATGTGGCCAAAAGTATGGTGATTTTCAACTTTATTGTACAAAGCCAGGTCCATGAGGACATGGTTAGATGAGTTGGATGTGGAGGAACTTACATGGCCTGTACAGAGCACTGACCCCCAACTCTATTGAACCTTTAGGAATAATTGAAATGCCGTCTGTGAGCCATCTAATATCAGTACTTGACCTCACAAATGTTTTTTTTGGCTGAATAGACACAAGTTCCCAAGAGAAACTCCAAAGTCTTGTGGAAAGCCTTCCCAGAAGAGTGGATGATCTTATAACCAGAAACAGGGAGCAACTCTATATGAATGCTCATGGTTTTGGGATGTCCATTAGTCACATAGTATATGTCACCATCATAAGTAGAGTCTGTATAAATCTCAGGATTTCCCTGTCCTTGTAGCTGAGTTAAATGGAATGAATGGTATTTTTAAAATCTGCTTTCTGTTTATACTGAACAGCAAACAATCCCACCCTGACATCATGTTTTAAGAATTCAGCTTCACCATGTAATGATTGGGGAGCATTACACTTTAATAGAAATACAGGGTCCCCTCGAATTTCTATTTCGGTATCAGACATTGCAATCAAAATGTTAGTTGAATAATCACTGTGATAAAAATCAATTACAGGATAAGCTATCCAGAGAATGTATTGTTTTCAGCTAAGTGAGCTTTTGAGCCCGAGTTCACCTACCCACTTGCATTAAAAGAGAGCAACAATAAAACAGAAACACTTATAACCAGGAAACCTGGAATGTATATGTAATATGACTCCGTTCATATATATAAAGAATTACCAGCTATACATATGTAGCGCTCACCCCCAAAGGAGCAGCCAGAATAACCCGGGTCAGCCATAGCTTGTCTAAGGGATTTTGTTAAGCAGCTTTCCCGTTAGCATTTACTGCCCTCTTCTAGTGCACACAGACATCCAGACCAGAACTATGATGCTGAAGAACAGTATTACCCTATTCACTCTGGGTATAGGGATCCTAGACATCCTGGGTAGAACAGACAGACTCCAGTGTAGATTCAGTGTAGATCCATTTGCAGCACAGTTGAATAGGGATTGGCACAGAATCTTCAATAGGAGAGACACCAGAACTGCTATATTCCAGGCACCTCCAGCAACCATCGGCTTCCCTGGTTCTCCTCCTCAATTAAAAGCAAAGGCCTCCTCCAGGCTTGAAGCCTAACAGAGCATTGTCCACACTCAGGTGTTCCAACCCTCCTTGCCTCAGGCTTAGCCCGGGGGCAGGCTGGACAGCACCCCAACCTGGAGTAATCCATGACTGGAACCAGACTGAGCACATGGCAATTCCCTTGAGCTTTTATGCACTTACCCAGCATGCAACACTGGCTGTGAGGGCCCCAGTGAGGCCAAACAACAGAGGGCAGGTACTGTACAAGGATCTATGTGTACATACAAACTTGCATGAATGACACCAATGACTTATCCCTAGTTTGATCCTATGATTATTCCTGCAGATTCTCCGGAGGGTAATCCCAGCAACAATGAATTCATATTTACCTTCAGCGCGGCCCGGGTAAGGCAGATTGTGGTAACCAATGAAATGCTGCACCAGGCTGAACTGCGAATATTTCGGAAAAAGTCGACAAGAGCGACACAGAGAACAGAGATCAGAGTGGAGCTGCACAGGGTGAGCTTATGGGGCCACTGTTGGGGGTTATCAATACTATTATTGTTACTGTGTAACTTCACTGCTGTGACAAATGTGATACTGGAGACCAGGGAAGGGAAAGATAAACTTTGTGACTAGTTGTTATTGGCAGATTTGTTTTGTTAAAGTGTATCTGTGAGTTCCTTAAAAGAAACTTGTACTGCAAGATATATGTTGGCTATTATTGATGGCCTCTCCTTTTAAAATGCTGGTTGCCTGGCATTCATGCTTATTCAATGCTTTCATGACTTTCTGAGTCAACAAATATGCAGATTGATGCAATGACTTTACCTTCTGTATGTTGCTCTTGATCGGTGAACCAAGTGTAGCGCTCACCCCCGAAGGAGCCGCTGGATGATCGGGTCTTCTGTTTCACCTCTGTGACACACCACAAGCAATGAACCCACAGCACACCAGCACACCTTGTGAAGTTTTATAACAGATTTAATGACTATGGAATAGAACAAACACTTAACGGCTCCCCAATCACCTGTAATACAACCAATAACAGGATAAGGCAATCTGACACGCAGCAGCAATCTATTGCATGCAGGAAAGCCTGCAATGTCAGAATGTCTCAGATAATATACTTAGATTGAATGCAATCAACATTAATATCTTTACTTAAAAGTATCTATCCCCCGCTAAACTACTGGCCAGTAGTATTGTCCTAGGCTAGCCAACGTTGGGGCCCTTGCTGTATAGCAGATGTGAACAATAAACAGGGTGTCACTGCGGCCAAAGGCCTCTCACCACTCCTCAGATCAAATGGGAAGAGATGAAGTCTGCTGGTGGAAGCTGGGTGTCCTCTCTCTCTCTAGTCGACTCTGGGAGGAAGGTGAAGTCATCTGGGTCCCTTGTAAGAAGTTTTCACTCACTCAGGATACTGGCAGTCGTCTCCCTCTGGATGGCTGGATCACCCCAGTGGCTGGTTCGGCAGTGCGACTAGGCCTCGATGTCCTTTGCGTTAACCAAGTCACCGGGCCTCACTTCAGGCACTCGATCGGGTCCTCTCCGATTCAGCAACTCAGATCAGTCTCTCTATAGACGGCTGCACAGAGCCTGTGTGTCCCTATATGTCAGCGGTGACCACACAGCTTTGTTTCACACAGGCTTAACCCACACAGGGTTACACAGGTCTGTCCTCTTCAGATGGCTGTCCCAGACTGAGGCTGCTCTGCAGTTGCAACCCATAAGCCTCCTGTTTCCTTCCCCACAGCCTCCTGGGTAATGCAGTTCTCAAAAATCCTTTCAGCAAACGTATCCAAATCAGCTCTGTATACAGTCTCCACAGCCTGTGCTCTCTGGCTCCACCTGCAGCTGCAATATCTTTTCTCTTAAAGGAGCTGAAATCACAACAGGCTACACAAGTTTCCTTTTAAACTGGCTAAGCTAACAATGGTTGTAGTAGACTCACCACGTGGTGCCTGCAAACCAGTAACTTAGCTTTCAGCTTCTGAAAATTGGCTTTGTTGTTTTGGTGAGTAAATATGGTACAATTTGTATTCCTAATACACTATATAGCCAGAAATATGTGGACATGCCTCCAAACTATTGCGTTCAGGTGCACGAAGTCAGGTCCATCTAGACATAGTTTGGTGTGGAGGAACTCAAGTGGCCTGACCTCAACCCTAGTCAACATTTTTGGGATAATTGGAACCCAGTTGTAAGCCAGGTCTTCTCATCCAACAAAATTGTGTGGAAGTCTTTTCAGAAAAGTGAAGTGTTATAGGCGCAAAGGAAGAGGAAGGTGGAGGGAACGACAGAATAATAATGCCCATGGGATGTCCAACAAACCTGTATAGTTGTGATGGTCAGGTGTCCACAAATTTTGCCCATATAGTGTATGAATTAAATATATCTGAAAAAACTGTAGCTTTCATAATCATATGTGCTCTTCTTTAATATGGCAAAGATACCATCATAAATGGATACCATAGCAAGCGATCAACAAGTATCTTTCATTGCTCTGACGTCTCTGAAGTTTGGTCATCATTACAGGTCCCTAAATAGCCTGGGGAATGTCTAAATTGAATTAGTACCATGTTTTACTGATATTCTTCAGTTTACAAATCACTCTACACCTGTGAAGGTTCTCATTTATCCAGGACATGGTATAGCTAGTAGTATTCTGTCACTTTCAATGGGACTTGTTATGTAACTTTGAAGATGTTTCATAGCTTATCCAATCCACTTCTTCAGTTCTGATGAGTGTCCAGAAAAGACCCAACTATTTATATTCACATAGGTAGTACAGGCACCGTAATCCAATCACCATGGAAAGGCAGATGTTAATTGTACTGGATGGTTGGTGTGGATGGTGTGGAACCACCGTGCTCTAGCTACATAATCCCATCCTTGGTGTCAGGAAGTCTGTAAAGGTGTTAAACCTTCAATACACATGACAAGGGAAACACAAGGGAAGAAACGTTAGAACAGCATTATATGTGGAAGACAGACAGCGCTGAAGGCCCCCACTCCTGTTCAACTTTGATTTTTCCAGTTTGATGTATATGGCATCTTTCATGCCTTATTCTCACCAGTTGACTTCTCTGTCCAAAATGTGCACCTCACTTGCCATGAAAAAAAATGTCCCTTTTCCTGTTGTAGGAAAACTGCTGAGTCTTGACCTGTAGAATTTGCCCTCCTATGTTGGTCCATACATTTGTTGAGAGGTTGTATTGCCTCCCCAATGTACAGGTCTATGCATTCCTCACTACCCTGCACTGCATATACCATGTTACTTCACTTGTGCTTGGGTGTTGGTTCTTTTGGATGCACAAGTGTCTGTCCCAGTGTATTGCTGAGACAGAAGCTCAAGATAAGATGTCATACACCATTCCAAGCTTACATGGCCAATAGCATTTTTAATATGCATACCTTTGAATCTTTTAGTAACATTACAAGTCTTATTGAATAGATTCCTGGCATTTCGCAACATACAGCAGTAGTCTATTAAATGAAAAGCTGTAACTGTTAAAAATCAGTTCTTGATGTCCTGTCCAGAGAGTTTGCCTAGGCTGAGATGATGTCATCAGTTTTCTCCAGGCAGGTGGAAGCATTTCCTCAGTCTCCTCAACCTGATCAAACCATAACTTTGAAACGTTTCAACAAGTGACAAGATGTGAGGCTTTAGCAGGGACTGATCTATTTTAGACATTAGTTGTTGGCCCTGGATAATGCCTAAACAAAGATGGCTCTGTCCTTCCGGAGGGAAAAGCAGGTCAGGGAGAGTACTGAGTTCTCTATAAGAAATATGAAATAAATGGAAGTGTTATACATTCTCTAGCATGTGTTCAGGTTACATGAACAATGTTTCTAATGCTACATCCACTTTAAACACTCCTTGTATTCGGCATATGTGTAGTTTAAGATATATTTTTTTAATTACACCCAATTTAAACATCAGGCTCTTAATTTTCTTTCAGGTTGACAGCAACGTCTCCTCTCGATATCTTGATAGCATGTATTTGTGGCCAACAGATGATGAGGAATGGATTTCATTTGATGTGACAGAGTCTGTGAAGCGATGGCTGACCAACACAGGTAACATGCGTTATATCTTCTCCTGGTCTGGGGTTGGCACATAAATAAGCAGCCTGTGGCAATAGTTTCCCATGAGAGGGCCTATAGGAGAGAATGCCTCCATCATGGTAGCCAGACTTCACAGTTTGTCAGTAGTGTGCATTGAAATGTGTCTTCTCAGAAAACAAATTTAGTGAAATTGATGGATGGCTTCCCTATATGGGCAGCTGTATAGAAGCTATGTATTGAAACTTTGCAGTGGATTACTTATTATCAAAAGAGGCCCAGTCATCACCATCTTAAAACCGAACTCCAGACTTACCTTTAGTCTTGCACAGTTGTACCAGTTCCTCTGCTGTACTGAAATTGCTTAATCTGATTTCATTGTACACTGTGAGCTTCTCACAGTGCCCTTTAGAAGCTGCAGCAAGTCAGATAGAGCCGTCTCGTTACTTAGAGGACATCCAGCCCTTTAATTTGCAGACTTATTTTCCTGGGCCCGACCTTATGTTTATTGGATTTCAATTCTTTCAATCATGGAGGCTCAGAACACATGTGGGCATCACCTAGGGTGGCCTGCATGTAAATGCAGTCTGCATAGGAACATCTAATCCTTTAAACTGGCATCCACCCATTAAAGTATATTGGCATGACTCTTCCCAAGAGCCATTTCACTGTTTGCATCAGGGCTGAGGGTGCTGTGATGTATTCAGGAAGCTACGTACAGCACCCTGCTGGTCCCTTTTCGCCAGCCATGGTGTGCAGTGCACACAGAAGCACGGAGACCTACCGATGATGTCACTGGATTTAAAATAAAGTATGCAATGAAAACAGAAAGGGTTTTATTTAAAATTTTCATTAGCATGTTGATAAGGGGAGGGGATGGAGGAACCAGAGAGGTCAAAATATGAACAGATTAAACTTCAGTTTTAAAACTGACCCTTAAATGTGAAATCAAGAAAGGCCCAAGGATAACATGCTTCCATTAGCCAGCCTAAGGCTACTACATGTATATTGTCTATAATCAGTTGCCAGCAATCTGTAATGTTTCAAAGTCCTCATTGCCATTCATATTTTAGAGCACGGTCAGGACTGCATTTGCCATTCATTGGACCAGTTCCTAGGGCAGCAGGGTTAGAGGTGGTAGTACCAAGTCTCAGCTCTTTGATTTTGTTTCCCTCTCCTTCGCACCTCTGGACATTTGTGGCTAAATTGGAAAAGAGAACTTTAGCGAGAAGTGACTTAAGGGGATGTTGAGAGGAGTCAGAAGGCTCTCATGGGAAATCTACAAAAGGGACACAGCGAAAAAATAAAAATGCTCGGGAAGTAGAAAAAAGTTGCGGGGCACTGAATCTCCTAAAGCAGAAAGTATTTTCAGTTAGGTCTTAAGCAGTGTCAAGGGAATGATTTCTCTTAGCTGCCTCTCCCCGAAATGGTGGCAGAAGGTCGGCTCTTTGCTCCAGTAGATACTGATTGTGCTAGGAAGAAAGCGCCAAAAGCAGAGCATATAAAGTTCAGATTTGCATGATCGCATCAGGCATAGGCAGCATCTGCAGTGATCATATTAATTACCCCTCAGGAAGCCTTCAATTTTATTAATCCAGTACAAACTGTATTCAGCAGTACTAAGCCCTAATGAAGGGGGGTTCTTTGGACCCCTAACATGTGTTGGCTTTTCTTTTTTAAAGAGTCTAAAGTAATAAAATCTGATAGGAAAGCATTTTTACTTGTCTGTATTTCTATTGGACAGTTTCCTCACTTCCTGTATTTCTATTGGACAGTTTCCTCACTTCCTGCCTGGTGAAGCTGTTGTCACTGTGACAGGCAGTGAGGGAAAATCTAGCGCGGATGGGGGAATCAATTGATTTGCTGTTAACGGCTAGCTCTCTGTAGCTGTCATTAGAATTGGGCACAAGTACCAAGGTGGAGATGAGGGGGAGAATCTGGCAGTAGCTTTCATCCAAAGATGGGTGGCTCTGCCACTGATTATTTTATATGTCAATAATATAATATATATAATAGGATTTATATGTTTGCCCAAATAAAGGGCATCTGCTTTAGAGTTTATATCAAGAGAAAAACATTTTTTAGGGAATAATTACAATTCTTCTTGGGTTTTCACTGTTATCTGGTGGATTTATCCTCACTTTCTATCCTACTGAGAGGCCACACATGCATTCATGTTTACTGGCAAATCATGGCTGTCATTTTGACAGCCAGCACTTGTGAACTATCACAGAAGCAGATCTTGAAGCTTCTGTATAATTGACAGCAGGAGAACAGCATTTTCAGTGACAATATTTACAATGTAGCAATGTCATTTTGCTACATTGGAAATACTCTGACTCATTCATAGCAGAGCATAGGGGTGACCTTTGATCTACATATGATGTAAATGAAAGGAACCTTGCAAGTTAAAAAAAATAAACAAACTGTGTTCACATTTATTTATGTATGAATCTGTTATTTTACATGGTGACAAAATGACCGCCGAATTAATAGACCCAATTACAGTTGAAATGTAAAAATTGCTCTGGTCTATAAAGGGTATACAGGTGTGAGAGCTGAATAACGTACCCCTTACAAGATTTTAAAGATGGTAGCTAAACTGGTGGATGCCCCTAAATAAATATTAAAGTTTATCTAAAGCTAAAACTTTTTTAAAATTGCATTCTGAGAAAAATTGCGGCAACATTTTGCCGAGGGTAAAATTAATTTAGCAAAAATGTATATTTTTGCTTTGGTAAAATCTTGGTAAAACACACTGGCATTAAAAGAAAGATACATTTCCCCACTAATCCTGACCTCTGGCTTCCCGTTGTGTCACTGAGACAGGAAGTAAAGGGAATTCCCTCCTATTGGGACACAGATAGCAAATTAAATCCTGAGAAGAGTTTTAACCATTCCCTATTCTAACTGGGCTCACTCCATAACTAGGCTTTAGAATTTCTTTACTTTTACTTTTTTTTTTTTTTTAATTCTTGTGCTTAAAGAGGAACTTTACCCACCAATTTAATGTCTCCCAAAACAGTTACTTTCAAGGCAACTCAACTGCTAAGTTTGCCAGGGTGCTTATTTTAGCTATCATATGGACTTTCAAGCCCTCAAATGGCTGGTGTCATAGCTGATCACATGTGCAGCACCATGACAACTGCAATCCAAATAGAGGCTAAGATGGCCCCCTCCTTGGCTGTAAAGGATAGGAGTGTGCCGTTCCACTTTAAAATAATGTGATGGTAATTCCTTAACGTAAGAAGCTTTAATACTCTAGTACAGGGGTCAGCAGCCTTAAACACTCAAAGAGCCATTTGGACCTGTTTCCCACAGAAAAGAAAACACCGGAAGCCACAAAACCCTAATATAGTTTTTTGCCTCTGTGCTATGTATAGCATGTATATAGGTATATGTGGGCTTAGTAACGCACTGGACTCTGGGCTTAGTAACGCATTGGGCTTAGTAATGCACTGGACTCTGGGCTTAGTAACACACTGGACTCTGGGCTTAGTAACGCACTGGACTCTGGGCTTACCTGAGACCCCGCAGAGCCCACATGAGAGTGACCCTGCACAGCCCATCTGAGACTCTCTATGGTGCGCTCTGCAGGGCCTGAGGTGGGCTGGCCCCAGGTCCCTTTTCCTGTACCTCCTCCCAACACCTCTTACCTGCTGCTGCTGGGGCCCGGCCTCCTCCACCCCCTCCCCTGTCACCTCTGCCATGCCGCCCCTGGTACAGCTGATACTCATGTAAGAGGCCCCCCAGGCTGCCCAGACCCCTCATATGGGTAACGGCCGTACCCCCCTGATGGCGGTGTTCTATCAAAGTTTGTGACTAAGTTATAATGTGTGACCGGTGATGTGGTCACACATTTCAATGTAACCCCGCCCAGTTTTTTGTTGGTGGAATGTGTGACCGCCAATAGGTCACATACGATTTGCGATGCCGATCTGCCCTGGAACAGCTGAGAAAGCATTGGAATGCTTGACCTATTGGTGGTCACACATTCCACCGGCAAAAAACTGGGAGGGATTACGTTGAAATGTTTGACCATGTCACCGGTCACAAATTCCAACCCAGTCACAAACTTTGATAGAACAGCGGCCCTGTCTAATCATTTAATCAGAGAAATAGATTATAATGGGGAACAGTACAGTGTAATATTCCCCATATTACAGTGTGGTGTGGTGCAGTCACACCCGTACCGAGGTAGTTCCGCCCCTGGCCTGGACAGGGAGTCGCAGCAGAGGGATGAAAGATCCAAATGCGGCTCCGGAGCTGACCTCTACTCTAGTAGCTGTCAGGATACAGCTCCTGTTGGTGTTATGATGGGTCTCAAATACAACAGTAATTGAAGGCAACTTGTGGAGCTTGTAACAACGAATTCCATCGTGTGTATAATTTTCCAATCAAGGAGTTTTTGGAGATGTTATATTTAGGTTGCCTTATGTAAACCCATACGCCGTAATCATCTACCAAATTCGACAGCCGTTAGCTCATAGAAGAGCTCTGTTCATCTGAACAGAGGTTCCTGCAGGACAAAATGTTTCAGGGCAGAGGCAGACCTTATATACAACTGTCTGCATTCTGTGTCTGATGGCGAGTCAACCTGCAACCGGTTAAGGGCAACCTGCAGCCTACTCATCTCCTTTATTAGCATTAGACATGTAAGCTGCCGAAAAATTTGGTTCGATTCAGTTCGGATATTTCGTTATTTCGGGATTCGGATCTGAAATTCAATTTGGTTCGGGTTTCGTCCGAAATGCGAATTTGCGTTAGTTTCGCGTGAGTGTACGAATATTCGATGCGAATACACAGAAAACCATATACAGATATTAATACTAAAGCTGAAGCTCCTAGACCCAAATGGCATTCGGGAGTCCGAATTTCTGAATTTACAAATACCATTCGGGAGCTCCAGAAAGCAATACGGTCTGGGAGCCATATTAAAGCTGAGGCTTCCAGACCCGAATGGCATTCGGGAGCTCTTGAATGCTAGTAGGACTCCATTCGGGTCTTGGAGCATCAGTTTTAGTATTATGTATATATAAGTAGTATTCTATAATACAAACAAATACTCGTAGCAGCAACATTCTGACATATATTATTTAAAACTAAACATGAGGCTCCCAGACCAGAATGACATTTGTGAGCTCCCGAATGCAAGTCTAAAATTCGGATTCAGACTCATTTCGATGCATTAAAACGAAAAACACATCTGATTGGCCAGAAAAGTCACATGTCCGATTCAATTTAGTTTTTCAATGAAATTCAGACAGGATCCGAAAATTGGATTCAGACGCATTTGGATGCATTGGCCCAGATAGCAAGTAATTGTGCTGCAAGTTTGAAAATGACTTGCTAAACTATTGCAGACTTGCCAAGCTTCACAATTTTGTTGCACAATTACAGTAAGTCTGCATTGCAAGTCTCCAGACCAGCGAGCTTGCAGAGCTCTTGCTAAGACCTGCAGGACTCTTGCTGTAGACTTGGATTGCAGTTGCCTTGGTGGTGTACATGTGATCAGCTATGACACCAGCCATTTGAGAGCTTGAAAGTTTGGTTGAGAGCTGAAATAAGCACACTAGCAACCTTGAGACTTGGCATGCCTTGAAAGTAACTGTTTTGGGAGACCATGAAATTGGTGGGTCCAGTTCCACTTTAAACAGATCCGGTCAGAAAAGGCTATTTGTGGGAATCTGAATCTGTAGACATATGTAGTTATAATAGAAGTGTCTTATCCCTTTGGGATGGTTGTGTGTTTTCTGTTATTCACTTATCATCTCTACCTGTTAAAGCAGACATACCAGCCTAATGTTGGACTGTTAAGCTCCTATGGAGGCTGATTTTTTTTCTAACCTGAGTTCAGGGATATAAAGGTGACACTGTGTCAGGGCTGCTGGAGGAGGTTAAAGCTGTCCATTAAGAAACGGTTTCAGGTTGTTTCATATATTCCTAACAGCACCTTTAGTATATGTCAGTTTTTTTTGATCATCTGCTGTCTGTCCTGAGCTCATGCAGGAATAAGGATAGTCATATAGCCTGACAGTTTTCTGACAGGGAGAGAATACAAGTAAATAATACAAAATCCAGTAATCCCTGCAAGCAAGGCTGCACTGTTAATACAGTTCAAGAGTGGAGGTTTCGAGATTCTTAAAGATGCTGATTGCTGACTGAGCCTCTTTAAAGTCTGCATACCTTGTGTCTACTACTAGCAACACAGCTTTTATGTGTAACACTCATGAGAATGATGGTTTAAGCACATATGGCACTCACTGTCTGTATTTCCAAGTATTCCTTTCTCTCCCACAGATGAGAATCAAAGTTTCAAACTACAAATGCCTTGTTCTTGTTCGGATATTAAGAATGAACAAATTCTGGAAATTGGTGGTAAGATAAGCAACATGTATATAACTTTTTTTTAATGTGTGTTCAGAAAAAGAAGTTTGCCGTGTCCAAACTTTGCAGTTTAAAAATTCCCCATCTAGTCTGCACAAAAAAGTCGATTTAAACTGTTTTTATGTTTTTATGGTGAAGTACATATGGCAGTCTAAGCAGGTGCCAAATCCAGTTACTCTGTGACGCACAAACCTCAAAACAAAAAACTTCCTTTACCTTGACTGAACGAGGCAGATCCTCCTTCGTGTCTCACATGCGCCCCCTACCAGACACTGCAGCTCGCAGTTAGAGGGTTGCAGGCAGTGTTGTCAATCTCATTTGAAGTGTTAGGGAGGACATTTGTGGGGTCAGTTCAGGAATAAGGTTACGTTCTAGGGTTAAGGTGTGGTAGCCTAATGATCACATTAAGATTTGGAGGTATCAGGGGACACAATTTATGCACTTGTTTTTAGCGCTATAACCCTACGATGAGAATTACCAGATGATGGGGACTCTGAGGGAAAAAAAAATATCACCAATAGTTAAGTATAATTCGTCTGAGTACAAAATACTGTTTCTCAGTTCTTAGCTTAATTCTCTATGTTCCACAATTCATATTATAATCATGCATTAGTGCTGCTATATAAAGCCATAACAGAATCTAAAATGCGCGAATTAGCCTGGGAACCGACAATCTCTTTCTGTTCACTGGACACAATCATATTAGGTTGTTAGAGAACAATAACTGAGTTTTGCTAATGTGTAGTGAGAGCCACAAATCATGACGGCAATGTAAGCTGCCCCTATAGGGAGCCTGTTATGCCTTAAAGTGTATTTCCTCTTCTGTATTCACACTTGAGAAAACCCCACGTTGTATTTCTCTGTTGAGCAGGCCTTCAAGTAGACTACAAGCTTCTATGCAGGGCCGTCGCTATAACAAGGCAGCTTGCGACAATAGCCTTAGGTGGCATCTCATTGGGTCACGTGGGACACATGGTAGCACACCTGCTGCCCCCATTCCGGTCACAGCATCACTGGTTGCTAAAAGCTCTTACCCCACCCCCACCAGAACATTCAACACCATCACCAAATCCTCCCCCTCACCACATTTATGCTATCTGAATGGTAACATGTTTGTGATAGTGATGGAGTCTATCAAAACTAGTAATAAATGGACTTCTCAGTTATGAAATATAGTTGGATGTGACAGGTTTCCTTCAAATTCAAGTTAATAGTTGGCAGTTTTCTCAAACCGCCTGCAAAGCATGAAGACTGTTCTGACTCTGCAGGGATAACTCATTCATGATGTGGCTAACCAAAAGGAATAAACTACTGTAGTGACAGCAAAATATGAATGATTATTCCATGCTGATGACTCAGAATGATGGACTGAATAGTGGAGTCCAAGATTTGCTCAAAGTTTTTTCTTCTGTTGTATTCTGTGTTAAGGCCCTGTGGTCAATGGCGGATGGGGCAAGCCTGATACATTTACAAACCCTTTTGTAAATGAAGCCTGGAGATGTTCTGTTTTGTTTTTTTAGGGTTCTCGAATAAACGAGGAGACATGCAAGAGCTCGCCTCGAATGAATTTCCTCCCTACCTCCTAATCACGTACACCCCAGAGGGGCGAATGGAGCAGACTCCCAACACCCGCCGCAAGAGAGCGGTGGATGAGGAATTCTGCCGCACGTTAGTATACCATTTGTACAATATTTATATAACATACCACATGTATGCAGCCATGCATAATAGGACATAGGCAGGAGGGGGTCGTATCTGCATGTTAGGGCACCGTGGGTTTTGAGGATCGAGAAGACCTTTTTACATGGAAGGTGCTTGCTATGCAATCATGTTGCAATTTGGAATGGCAGTGGTTGCTTTAAAATGACCCTGTTGTACAAATTGGATTTCCATATCTTCTCGATATCAGAAATCTGCTTAAAGCCGAATTCCAGGCAAACAGCTAAATGTTTAAGGATTCTTTTAAAGAAAGAAAAGTGGGGTTTTGAAAGCACCAAAAAATGACAACTCCAAACAAAAAAATAAATATATTTTTCATATATTTTTTTGTTTGGAGTTGTCATTTTTTGGTGCTTTCAAAACCCCACTTTTCTTTCTTTAAAAGAATCCTTTCTGCATACTATTACCAGGGGTGTGGCACCTAGTATCCAGATCCAGGTCAAAAACTCTTTTACCCACTAGCTAAATGTTTAACCTGCATCTATTTCTAATATTTACACAGCTTTTCTACACCATACAGTCAAATCTGGCAGAGGAGGAGATCTGATTTGCTCTCTGCTGCAATTCAGTTATGCTTACAGGTCTCCTCCCCACCACCTTCCTCTGACAGGACACTGAAAGGAGAAGTAGCAGACTGATGGGATCATCTCTTTATCACCCTTTTAGCATGCTCCTTGCACTGCAGCACAACTGATTGTCTGCTTCTGCTGCTTCTCCCTCCCCCCTAGTCCAAGCTTGGGGGATTGTAAGAGGCCGATGGTCACATTAAAGGAGAACTATGGGGTTAAGGCTTTTCCCCATAGTTCTCCTTAGGGTAATGGGAGGACACAAACTAGCGTCCTCCCGTCACCCTAAGCACAGTATACCGCGAGCTGTAGCTCGCGGTATACTGAGACGCCACAGCTGAAGCGGATCCCGACAATTATGCCGGGGTCCGCCCAGCTGCATGACTATCTAGAGGCAGAGCCAGCTGTACCCGCCCCCTCCCCCGTCCGTTCCGCCAGTCAGCGCTGGCGGTTCGGAGCGGGGAGGGGGGAATCCAGCCCCTCCCCTGTCACGGCAGAGAGCTGTGACAGGATCAAGAGGTGAGCGAACGCCGGTATGTGTTCGCTCACCTCCCGATCTACTGAGCCGACCTGTGACAGTCTCATTGTCACAGGTCGGCTAGAACTATGAGGTGAGTGAAAAGCACTCATCTCATAGTTCTCCTTTAAGGTTCTTACACTGCCTGCATTTAAAACAAAATACATTTAAAATATATTAGTTTGTGTCATTTTTGTCTGCCTGGAGTTTAGCTTTAACCCCTTCGTGACTGACGACGTACAGTGTACGTCGCCAGCATCGATATCACAATGGTTTTTTTTACCATGTAAATCATAGAAAATGTAACAACAGTCTCATACCAAATGTTGGACTGTAACTGGTATTCTGACCTAATGAATGAGTACAATTATTAAACTTGAGATCCTGGAGGATCCAGCGTTGTTTCTGTTACATTAAAAATCACAGAATTTTGGCAAATATAAGAACTTTTATCTCACATGGTAATTGTATGATGTTGATACTGTGGAACTGGAAAGACTGATAGATTCGAATGGCAACAGAATGGATCCAAGAAAAACATTTATGGATGCATTCACTCTTTCCATATATAATATTTTATGTGAAGCAAGTCTAGAAATATAAAATGTGACTATATCATTTAGATTAGAGAAAATGTTCCTTGAGGTAAAAACTAAGGCTGGGAGGACTGAATAGTTAGTGTTAGCAATTTGATAGGGTTTATTGTCTATATGTCAAATAATATACTCGCAGCTTCATTGCATTGGAAAATATTAAAAAGAAAACAGGTGCAGAGCAGGCACCTTATGGTACCCCATTTTTCCCTAACTTATCACAATATTCCAGCTCTTAAAGCGGACCTTTACACTCAAAAATCAAATTCTACCAATGCATCCCTCTATGTATGATGATTAATAATAACATAGACATGTGTAAAATGCTGTGATTTGGAAATACTTACACTTGCAGAGCATTCACTTCCTGCTTTGAAGGGATAAAATGACTTCAGTTTGCCAAAGCAATGCACACTGGGATTGCCTTGTCATACGCAGAGCATTACTAGGAAATCTCATCTGTAATCTCAGGAGATCTCAGGGAAAGGCATTTTCCTCCCCTGAGATGATGTGCATGGTCACATGTCCTAGTAAACATGTCTAGTCACATGTGCCAGAAATCCAGGAAGTAATAGGAGAGCTTGTAATCTGCCCTTAGTAAACATGGCCACTGTCAGAAGACTGGGGAAGAAAAGAGAAATAAGGAATGCAAAGAATACAAAGCCGTGTGTTTGTAGATTGTCATTACTAAACATTTCTAAAGGTGTGTTTGTTGTTATTTTAAAGATATGGGTAAAGGTCTGCTTTAAGCACATGCCGTCATTCTGAAAGTCAGTGTTTGCATAAGCTGAGTGCTTCTGGGACTCCAGAAGCACTGGTAGTGCATGCATTGACCAGAAGATGAGCTGTGCCATTTTATGGTGCCTCCTCTGCACCAGTTATCTTGTTCTAATATTTTTTACCTCTACCAGTAAGATATTTTATAAATCTATAGAACAATTAGAAAAGCCCTCTAAAGAAAACTTTGTGTTTCCATTACAGGAACAGTGGAAAGAACTGCTGTGTAAAACCCCTTACTATTAACTTCCGCAAGGATCTTGGCTGGAAATGGATTCATGCACCTAAAGAATATGAAGCCAATTATTGTTTAGGAAGTTGTCCATTTATTTGGAGCATGGACAAACAGTACAGCAAGGTAAGCCCTAGAGTATAGTGGCAACTGAGTATGAAAAACCCTTCCAACAAAGGGAGTGATAAATGAAAAAGGCACCTGGTTACATTAAATAAACAATGCAAGGGCCAAAGTACCACAACCTAATCATTCAAATTCACTTTCCAGAAATTAGACCAGCAAAAATGTATTTTAATTGGTTTGCTTTGGGTATCTCATCTTGCACTAGTGCACTTTTTATTGAATAAGGATCCGGTCTCTGCCACTGCAAAAAAAGGCCTATGGGACATGGAGTAAGTGTTTTCCACCTGTAGGGTGATACACAAAGAAAGTGAGATATAAGACATGGAGTGTTACCCGAATAGAAAGGTAAAACAAACAGAAGGGGGCTATGAAACATTGAGTGTTGCAGGTGTCACCCTGAGAGAGCTTGTAATCTGCCCTTAGTAAACATGGCCACTGTCAGAAGACTGGGGAAGAAAAGAGAAATAAGGAATGCAAAGAATACAAAGCCGTGTGTTTGTAGATTGTCATTACTAAACATTTCTAAAGGTGTGTTTGTTGTTATTTTAAAGATATGGGTAAAGGTCTGCTTTAAGCACATGCCGTCATTCTGAAAGTCAGTGTTTGCATAAGCTGAGTGCTTCTGGGACTCCAGAAGCACTGGTAGTGCATGCATTGACCAGAAGATGAGCTGTGCCATTTTATGGTGCCTCCTCTGCACCAGTTATCTTGTTCTAATATTTTTTACCTCTACCAGTAAGATATTTTATAAATCTATAGAACAATTAGAAAAGCCCTCTAAAGAAAACTTTGTGTTTCCATTACAGGAACAGTGGAAAGAACTGCTGTGTAAAACCCCTTACTATTAACTTCCGCAAGGATCTTGGCTGGAAATGGATTCATGCACCTAAAGAATATGAAGCCAATTATTGTTTAGGAAGTTGTCCATTTATTTGGAGCATGGACAAACAGTACAGCAAGGTAAGCCCTAGAGTATAGTGGCAACTGAGTATGAAAAACCCTTCCAACAAAGGGAGTGATAAATGAAAAAGGCACCTGGTTACATTAAATAAACAATGCAAGGGCCAAAGTACCACAACCTAATCATTCAAATTCACTTTCCAGAAATTAGACCAGCAAAAATGTATTTTAATTGGTTTGCTTTGGGTATCTCATCTTGCACTAGTGCACTTTTTATTGAATAAGGATCCGGTCTCTGCCACTGCAAAAAAAGGCCTATGGGACATGGAGTAAGTGTTTTCCACCTGTAGGGTGATACACAAAGAAAGTGAGATATAAGACATGGAGTGTTACCCGAATAGAAAGGTAAAACAAACAGAAGGGGGCTATGAAACATTGAGTGTTGCAGGTGTCACCCTGCACGATGCAGGGTGACACAGACAAAAGGGAAATATAAATCAAGGGGTATGTCCATCCCGATATAGGGTGACACAGACAGAAGGAAGCAATGAGACATGGGGTATGTCCATCTTGGGACACAAGTGGGGGAGCTATTATTATTACATAGTATTTATATACCGCCAACAGTTTGTGCAGCGCTTTACAATATAAGGAAGACATTACAATCACAATACAATTCAAGACAAGATGGTAAGGAAGGCCCTACCCCTGGGGGCTTACAATCTAAAAGGGGAGGGGGAAGTGATACATGAGGAGGTAGCTATGTGGGGATGAATTGTTTGAGAACGTGACGGTTCAGTGGTTAGGTTGAGCCCTATCCCTGCCACTGCAGGATGACACAGACAGAAGGGGACTTTGAGACATAGAGTGTGTCCCTCCCACTGCAGGGTGACAAATAGACAAAAACTATGAGATGCGCAATCAGCTCCTCCCACTGCAGTATAACACAGGCAGAAAATATAAAGAACAAGACTATACATTCTCTTTGGTAGCGCGTTTCCGAAGGCTACTTGGCTGTATCCCAATGGAAACGCGCAACAAAACGGCCCAAAGTAGTACCTGTACCTTTTGTAGCGCGTTAGGGACGGGCGGAAATACGCCAAGGTGGGAACGAGACCATTGAATACAATAGGATTTATATTTTTGAGCGTTTTGTAGAGCGTTCGTCGAGCGTAGAACGCGCTACAAAACGTTCAGGTGTGAACGAGGGCTTAGGGTAACGGGAGGAGGCAAACTAGCTACAGCTCGCGGTATACGGAGACGCCACAGTATACCGCGAGCTACTGCTGGCGGTATACTGAGACGCCGCAGCTGAAGCGGATCCCGACAATTATGTCTGGATCCGCCCAGCTGCGTAAGTGACAGCTGGCTCTGCCTATCTAGAGGCAGAGCCAGCTGTACCCGCCCCCTCCCCGTCCGATCCGCCAGTCAGCGCTGGCGGATCGGAGCGGGGAGGGGGGAAACCAGCCCCTCCCCTGTCACGGCACAGAGCTGTCACAGGATCGAGAGGTGAGCGAACGCCGTTATCTGTTCGCTCACCTCCCGATCTACTGAGCCGACCTGTGACAGTCTCATTGCCACAGGTCGGCTAGAACTATGAGGTGAGTGAAAAGCACTCACCTCATAGTTTTCCTTTAAACCTTTAGCTTCAGTTCCTTCTGAGTCATTGACTAGGAACAAGTACGCAGAAAAGTAATTGTCACATCTGCGTACTTGCTCTTGGTCAGTGACTCAACATATTATAGCATTGAGAAAACAGCATAGTGTCCTTCTTTCTTTTTAGCAACATGAGAAAGCTTTCGTAGTGCAGGAACAAGCAACAGCTCTGACTATTTGTAATAAAACCCATTGTTTGTTGGTTTCAGGTCCTGGCTCTCTATAATCAGAACAATCCAGGTGCCTCTATCTCTCCATGCTGTGTACCGGATGTTTTGGAACCACTCCCTATTATCTACTACGTTGGCAGAACAGCAAAAGTGGAGAAACTGTCAAACATGGTGGTCCGATCTTGTCAGTGCAGCTGAGACTTAACACTGGAGGACAGAAGTTAAGGAAACAACACGGTACTGGACTTTGCCACAACCAACGTTAGACAGAGACCTGTGGTCAGCACTTGCCCTTGCACCCTGTGATTGAACATTCATATCTTAGGTCAAAAGATACTTTCTCTCTTGCCCTTTTAGTGTGCTTGGGTTCAAAGACCTGCAGATACTATTCCTGCTAAGTACAAAGAGCTGCACGGCAACAACACCAGTACTTACACAGTAACTCACCATTTTCCCTCAAAGCTTGGTACCTCTGAAGAGCCATGCCCTTTTACTCCCTTTGGTATATAAACTACAGTCAAAACAAGTTATATGTCATTGGGAAACACCAAAGCTAAACTGGAATTCACAAGCCTGGTAAGCTTACCAAGTCACATTTAGGTTCTTGGACAAGCAAAGAAAATTCAAGAATGTTTCCTCATCCACTATGGCTCTGTTTCTCTTCTGCTGGCTGTGCCAGCTTGGTAGAGTGGTGGACATCAAGCCCTGATGATATATCAGCCATTACCAAGACCATGAACTAAGGAGTGGTGGAGGGTGTTCAGCACATTTGAGCAGAGCTTCAAGTCTTCATCAGTCCACTGGTATGTCTAGGCACTTCCAGTCTTTGAAAAAAGTCAGAGATGCCTAATTACTGGTCTTGTCTTGGGCAACACAAGACTGCAGACTGCTACATACTACAATACATTATGAATGAGGCATCAGATGTAATTTCAAGAGTGCCTTCAATCAGACAGGATGAGTTGATGTGCAGGTTGCCCCTGTATTGTAGCACCATAACCCACCAATTGCTGCTGTTATTATGTTCACTACCATATTTGCTGTCTTGAGCTTCGTTTTTTTAAAGCTTACAATAATGCATTTGATTCCATAGCATATACCGTGATCCAAAGGCACATTAATGTGGCCATAAAGTCAAATGAGACCGCTCCATTATTAACCAGCTAACTCTGGACCCTTAAAGCCAGAAAAGATAACAGAAAACAAAACTCTTACCTTAGCTGCAGAAACTGCTGTTCTGGTATTCCACAGCGGCTAGTTATTTGCCCAGAAGTCTAGATGTTGCTCATGTGTTGGCTTCTAAAAGGGAAGAATTTGAATTAAGGAGCCACTGACTGGCTGATCTTCTCCTTCAGAAGGTCTCACATAACCAGTTGAATTCTGGGTCAGCAATTAATGCAGCAAAGGCCTCATAGTTCCTGTTAGCTTTTCTGGCTAAGCTTGGAAAAGGTAGATGTTCCATTCAAAACTGGCATTTGAAAAGCCACTCTATAGTAATAGGAAACGCAGACATAAACTTGCATGTGCATAGTAACCATCACAAAAAATCTAGCTCTGCTCCTCCTTGGCTGGAACCATATAATTGCTGCTGTCAGGAAAGAGGCCGGCAAATTTGTCCTTCATATAGCTTTGCAGTGAGAGTCACTCAGCCTCTGCGCCGAAAAATTGCTGACTCTTACATGAGTCAATGAGAGGCTGTGAAGCAGGCAGATTGTTTGGAATCCTCGGAGCTAGATTTTCTAGGGAGGATGTACAATGAATAAATTAATTTATTAATGGACATTTTTAAATTGCAATACTCAATAATTCCACTAAATGCTGTCAGCGATTCTGCATCTTTGGACTGAATTGGAAATGGTGCCTACTCAGGGAAAAAAAAAAAAAAAAAAGACCATCAGTTTCAGTGGTGGAAAATAATTCAGGCTGAACCTGACATGAATTGACTAATTGCAGTGGATTGGAAGGCAGAATATTTTCTTTTTATGAAACAAATTGTTTTCTTTATAATTTTTTTAATATAGTTTGACTTTCTTATTTAAAAATAAATGATTTAAAGTTCATAAATAAAATTGGTACTTGGAAAAGACGTGTATGTTTATTATAAAGGTTTATATTCCAGTTTATAATAAAGGGGGGCTCAGCTAAGAAATGTATGCATTAAACCTGACAGCATAACATAAGTCCAATGCAAGGTCCAATAATTTAGCAGTAAAAATGCGATCTGCTGAAAATATTAGGACCCCATTCCTCCTGACAAATAGCAGCTCTACAGAAAAAACAAATCAGAAAACAGTTATTAAATATACTTGCCTTACCTCTGACTTCCACTATTGGCACCTAGACCAGAGTGATGTCAGCTTCCTTCTGTGGAAATCCCAGGGAACGCTAAATATCCCAAATCTCGTGAGGACATGATCCTACACTATGCTGTATCGTCTCCTCATGCGATTTGATATACTCACCATTCTAAATGATCTCACCGGAAGTAGCATGCCTTCACCCCTGAAATACGAAAGCCATTGGAGAGGTAAATATATCTACTTATTTCCCTAAAGTTTTTCTTTTAACTTGTAAAGCTGCTATTTGTGAGTGGGGATGGGACCTATCATATTAAGAGGACCTTGCATTTTACTGATAGGTCCACTTTAACAACAGATTTACTCCTAATATGGACTCTATGTTTTGCAGATTCATATACAGTACAACAGTGAACAACGGTGACCCCCATGAGAGTCCCTGCTTAGTTAGAAAGCCTTTGTCACTTGGCAGAGCCATTGCATGGGATAAGGTTAATCTAATCTTCTTCCCACTGATCCCCAACGTACCGGGCATTCTTCCTACTGACTACCAATGTGAAAGGCATTAATCCTTCCACAAATCCTCAATGTACCGGGGTTTTTATTTTTCCTACTGACTACCAATGTAAGAGGCATTCATCATTCCACTGATCCCCAACTTACCGGGCATTCTTCCTACTGACTACCAATATGAGAGGCAATTATCCTCACACAGATACCCAATGTACCGTGGTTTTCTTCCTACTGACTACCAATGTAAGAAGCAGTCATTCTCCCACTGTTCCTCAATGTACCAAGGCATGCTTCCTACTGACTACCAAAGTAAGAGGCATTCATACTCCTACTGACCCCTAATATATCAGGGTATTATTCGTATTGACTATCAATGTAAGAGGCAGTCATCCTTCCATTGATCCCCAATGTGCCAGGGTATTCTTCCTACTGACCTCCAATATAAGAGGCAGTCATCCTCCCACTGATCCCCACTGTATTAAGCTGTTCTTCCTATTGACTACAATAATGGAGTGTTTTATCCTTCCACTGATCACCAGTGTACCAGGGTATTCTTTCTAATGACTGCCAATAAAAAAGGCATTCTTCCTCCTACTAATCACCAATGTACTGAGGTATTCTTCCCACTGACTACCAATGTAAGCCATTCTTCCTCCCATTGGCCATAATCTTTCTAATTTTCAGGGACAGTCTTATTATATCCTTGGAAGCAGCTGGTAATTTCCTGAACTTTTAAATTACCGAGAACTGGTCACTATAATCCAAGAATCTGAATATTCAGCCTTAAATTAACTGTTTAGGTTTTGGATTTATGTGTCTCTGTTTAGCTTTACTTTCTTTGTCTGAATCTGACATTTCAGCTGCCTTGCCAACTCCTGAGAGTTCATAATGGGATCAAATAACAGAGACCCGTAGTTAAGAGGAATATAAAATTATGCATTTAAGACTGAAAAGTCAGATAGTTGAGCATGAGCCAAATGTTGAGGAAGGCGACTGAAGTTTCCAAGAAAAAAAAAGAAAGTATTGGGTGGACTCACTCACGTTATACAGACCTTTCAGCGACTTTACAAGTCTTCATTAATAAATTCCTGATGCACCACAAAATATAGCAACAGTATCATTGTTCAAAACAAACGCTACCATTTGGCATTAAAAAACAGTCCAGACCATGAGCTCCAGAGTAGTGACTTTGTCTTGGTTGGGATGATGTCATTTGTCAGCTGCCTGCAGGAGGAAGCATTTCCTCAGTCTCTTTTGTCTTAATGATCAGACTGCAATATTGTAACTCAGTAGTAAGTCACAAGGTGAGAGGCGGCAACAAAGGCTGATCTGTGTCAGGATCCGTTCTCATGTTTGCAATGCAGGAGCACATGCGATGCTGCATGCAATCCCGCATTGCCAGTTTCAGTGTTAGGTGTCCTGCAGTGCCATTATCTCTTCTAGTCATTGCATGTGCAATGTATCCCACCACATCGCATTGTAACCTGTTACCATGTGATGTGGTGCACTAAAAAGAAAAAAAGATGCTTACACTTCTTTAAATGTGATTTAGCTTTAGTAGGTAGCCCATTCAAATGGGGGTACCCTCCGTAGCACACTACAATGCACCCTGCAGCACCTCTGTGATGGTGCATCATAGAAGTGTGAACAGAAGCTCAGATATTGTGAAGGCAGCCAAGAACTGTGCAGGCCCCAAGATTTACATAATAATCTCTCTGAGCCTGAGGCTGACCCTGGATAATGCCTGAACAAAGATGGAGCTGCTCTTGGAGCGAAAATGTGAAGAAGGCATTGTGCGAGAGAGCGTAAGAGAAAATAAATACCTGGAAGTACTACACTTACACATTACTTAGCATGCAGCACCTAACATGAAAAATAGATCTGCTGCTAGGTTCACTTTAAATTTTACACCGATCCATAAAGGACCTCTGTTGTGGTTGCAGCATTGTAATGCACGGCCAACAGTTCTTGTCACACAAGACGCCAAGCTGCGAATATTAATGTTGTTATTTGGAATAATGTTATCTCTGGAGAAGGGCACTGATAATTAGCGGCATGTATGAGCTGGTACACAACAGATTTCCTGCCAGTTATAATCTCCTGCTTCCTGTCAGTGACGTCATCACTGATCCAGTCACAGGCATTGGCAAACAGTGACTACGCAGTGAGGAGAGCTCACACGTCTGTGCTCAGGGATTTCCAGTTACAATAAAAGGATATTTTCTCGCATGGTCAGAATTCATGTATCATTGATCTCATTACCTGACACATTAAAGTGAATTCAGCTGAGCAATATGTTTATCTACATGGGCCACATAAATCCAGACTTGTATGTTATAATGTCCCTACGCCTTAGTCAGCAAACATCTGGAGAGGTTTGGATATTTGTTACTGCCAGCAATCCACCTCCATATGTCATACCTGGACAAAGGAAATCAGGAAAAGAACAGCTCCCTTACATACAGAGCATTCCTGTATAACACAGATGAAAAGATATTGGATATATACTGTATCTTATTAGAGATGTGCATTCAGATTTGGACAAACTTGCTGAATCACAAAATTCTGTTGATTCGGCTGTTTGTGCAAATCCGAATTTACGAATCATTAAATGCACGAATATACGAAAAACTATATTTGGGCATACAGCAATTCGTTTTGTATGGGCACTGCCATCACACACACATATCACCCAGGGAATGGCAATATCTGGTTGCTGTACAGGGGCAATGAGGGCATGCTGGGACTTGTAGTTCCCTAGCTGATATGTTATGAAGCTGTATTCCACCTGAAAGTACTACAATGCCATTATAGAACTAAGAATAGAACATAAGATAAAACTTTTTTTTCTTCTAATACTCACCTGATTCGTGGATCCACCAACAAGTGCAGCCTCCCGTCTCCCACGCTGTTAGAAGCTGCATACAGCGTGTGCTGGTTACTACTTAAACCGGCGCG